CACAAATATGACGCTATTGACTCGTAACGCCTTTGCGTACCTTGTTAACCTTTTTTATCTTTTTTCGGTATACACATTGTTACTCTGATAAGACATAAATACCTAAATATTGAATAATAGTGTAACAGTGAAAAGGCTTATCAGTATCAAATCTTGTTATCGATAGTCATTAACTATAGTAGGTAAATTCAACCATTTATACGTAATTGTTTTCCCGATTTTCCAAATAAAGTTGTAAGTAAAATAATCTTATGTGTACACGAAAAATATTTGCTGAATATTTATATATTAAAATGGTAATTTTCACACCATTATTAATCATGTGAAATGTTTTACCAAAAGTATAATATTGTTTAAAACAAACCCGCAGAGCGGGCGCTCTTCATTAATTGTTAATTAAGAGTAGATTGTTTTTTTTTTTCAAAATGGAATTCGAACGTAAAAGAGAATTAGAGGAAAAAAAACAAAGGCTTCTTAGGCTTAAACAACAGAGAGAAGAACGCAGACTCAATAGTCAAAACACGTTTATAAGTGAGCCCGCGTATAGAACTGATCCGGTATATTTTGTACATTAAACTAATTATTATTGTAATTCTAAAAATATAATTAAATTTTGCGATGTAACATTTATAGGATAGGGATCGTAAGATCAATGAATTTGCTAAATCATTGCTAGAAGAGAATGATAAGCCCACAGTACGTACATCACGTACTGGAACGATATCGAGTCAGGAAGATCTTTTTATCATTACCAATAAAGACAAAACTGAGAAGGGTAAGAATGCTGCGCTTTATACAAATAATTATTCGTCTCCAGGCGTCTCGGTCCCTCCAAGGTCTTTTTTCAAATTTTTTTTTCTGATTTAATTTTGCAAATGTTTAATATATTTGTTTAAAAAATATGTTGCTTTTTTTTTTTATTTAGCTATGTGGTTTTTAATCAATTGCTGTTTTTTTATATAATAGCCCAACTTTTATTCCTCCCCCTCGCTTTATGCCTGAGCTGAGCTCGGTTCAAGGGGAATCAGTAGACATTGCTGCAAGGGTAATTCCCGAGCCTACAATTTTTTTAATAGTAATCTTTTCTTGAATCTATGACCGAATCTTAATTCGTTAAC